CCTGCTGCTGCTGCTGCTTCTCCGGCTGCTGCTGCTTCTCCGGCTGCTGCTGCTTCTCCTGCTGCTGCTGTTTCTCCTGCTGCTGCTGCTTCTCCTGCTGCTGCTGCTTCTCCTGCTGCTGCTGCTTCTCCTGCTGCTGCTGCGGGTTGGCGCACTCGCTGGCGCTTCAAATCCGCAGCAGCTGCAGACACGGCCTGCTGCCGCTTCCGAGAAACTCCATCTGCTGCTGCTGCTGCTGTTGTGTCTGCTGCCGCTGCGTCTGCTGCACCTGCTGCTGCTGCAACGTCTGCTGGCTGGCTTTTGCGTTTTCCTTCGATTTTCTTCTTTTGCTGCTGCTTCTCCTTCCGCAGCTTCGCGCTGCTGTCGCTGCTGCTGCTCTTTTTGTTTGCTGCAGACATCTTTGCAATTGTCTTCTTAGTCGATTTTATTTGCTTTTTGCTCGAATTTGCCGCATCGCCTGCTGCTGCTGCTGTTTCTGCTGCTGCTGTTGCTGCAGCAGCAGCGGCGGGCTTCTTCGCCTTCTGGGGCTTCTGAGTCATTTTAGAACATTTAAATTGAATTCGGGATTTTGAATTTCAAAAGAAGAAAGGAATGAAAGTCCGGAGCTGCGGATACACCCCAGAGAGGTGGCCTGTCTGCGGTGTATGTACATACACCGAGAGAGCCAGGTTTGCGAGGAGGGGGGAAAGCGAAAAAATAAACGGATAAATACATAAATAAACAAATAAAAGAATAAATAAATGAAAATAAACTCCAAATGGGGTCTGGGGAGCAAAGAAGAAGAAGGGAAACTCCGAAAATCGAATTCTGCAAGAGAAGATCCTCTGGGGGGCGTCGGAGCCCCCGAGTGTCGTTTGAGCTCCAAACTGGATTTAAAAGGCGCAAACTGCAGCAAAAGAAGAAACAAAAAGCAAATAAAAGAAAACAAAAGAAAATAAAAGGAAAATAAAAGGAAAGAAGTAAAAACGAGGCGAAGAACGGATAAAATTCGTCGCCTTCAGCCCCTCAGCCCCGCGCCGCGACTCCGCGCGGCGCATGCAGCAGCCGGCGCCAAATCGGCGCGTTTTTCGCGTTTTCGGGGTTTATTTTTCTTTCTTTTTGTGTTTTGAACTTCAAAAATGCTTTTCGGAGTTCCAAATCTGCAAAAACTCGGAAAATCCGCCGTTTTCTGCGAAGTTCCAAATGGCCGCGGAAGCCGCCGCAGACCCCGTCCAGCTGGCCCTGGTGGAGCTGCTGGGGCTCAGCGACATGTACCGCCGGTGAGCGCATTTGGCCTTTAAAAAGGTCAATTTTTGGCTTTTTTTCGCCATTTTGAGCCTCAATTCTTCTTCTAATTCATTTGTTGTGCATTCTGTTCTTTAATTCGGCCTTTCTTCGTCCAATTTGGCCTCAAATTCGCCTTTTTGGCCCCCATTTCCCTCTTTTCAAATGTCCACTTTTTCCTACGACCAGCTGTATGTACACCCTGAATGCGGACTCCTTCTCCGCCTCTACTCTTTATTTCTTTTATTTCTTTTATTTCTTTTATTTCTTTAATTTATTTATTTATTCATTTATTTATTTGTTTGTTTGTTTATTTGTTTGTTTTTATTTGTTTATTTATTTGTTTGTTTGTTTGTTTGTTTGTTTATTTGTTTGTTTGTTTATTTGTTTGTTTGTTTATTTGTTTGTTTGTTTATTTGTTTAATTTACAATTTGGTTATTCGAATTTTTTCATTTTTTGATTTTTAAAACTCTTTAAATCCTCATCTAAAGCCCGAATTAACTAACTAAACAACTAATTCATCTATTAATTCATTTATTATTTATTTATTTATTTATTTATTTATTTATTTATTTATTCACTTATTTATTTAATTCAGGATGCAAGACACTTGTTGGTCCCGCTGCATTCCAAATGTCAAAAAGGAAATTCTGGAGGCGGGAGAAAGCAGCTGCGTAGACAGATGCGTAAATAAAGTAATTCTTTTATTTATTTATTTGTTTGTTTGTTTAATTAATCAATTAATTAATTAATTAATTAATTAATTATTTGTTTGCTTATTATTTGAAAGACTAGAAGTGACAGGAAAATTCAAAAAGGAGAAAAAACGGTTTTGTTTTTGTTCCGTTTGTGGCGGTTGCCGTTTTGTTTTTATTTTCATTTTATTTTCATTTTTGAATTGTTTTTTGATTCTTTTTAATTCTTTTTAACTCCCAATTCTTTTTAATTCTCCTCCTAATCCTTTTCATAATTCCTTTTAATTCATTTTAGTTCTTTTTAATTCCTTTTAATTCTTTTTAATTCCTCCTAATTCTTTTTCATTCCTTTTGATTCTTTTTAGTTCTTTTCATTCATTTTCTTCTTTGTGTCACTTTTATTGTTTCTCCTTATTTTGGCTTTTCGCTTTTTCTTTTTTCCTTCAAGTATCTTTTTCTGCCACTCGATCCCAGACGATCCCAGACGATCCCAGACGATCCCAGACGATCCCAGACAATTAAAAGAATTGAAGAAGAGTTAAAAAAGAATTAAAAGAAATAATAAAAGTGAATTGTATGTTTTTATTTTATTTATTTTATTTTTATTTTTGTGCAGTACACGGCGGTGCACAGCAGCCTCGGAAAGCAGCTTCAAGAATCTTCAAATCCGAAATAAATAAAAAGAAATTTAAAATGAATTCAAATTCAAAATAAATAAAGTTAAAATGAATTTGAATTCAAAATAAATAAAATTAAAGTGAATTTAAATTCAAAATAACTGAAGTATAAACTCAAATGCAAACAAATACAAAATAAAAGACAAAAAGAAAAGGAAAAGGAAAAGGAAGAGAAAAGGAGAGAAAGGAGAATAAAATAAAATAAAATGAAAATAAAATAAATAAAATAAAATAAATTCAAAAGTAAAACAGAAAAGTGGGGAAAGTTTTGGAAAACTCAAAAGACGAATTTTGGAAAAACTCACAAAAGAAATAAATTCATTTTCAAACAAATAGATGATTTAAAGTAAGTAACCAAATTTAAATGTTACCGAACTGATTTAAAGATGAACAAATCTATTTAAATTGATTTAAATGTCATTAAATGGATTTGAAAATGATTAAATGGATTTGAAAGGTCATGAAAAGAAATTAAAAAGAAGTAAAAGAATTAAAAGAAATTGGAATGTAATCAAAGCAATTTAAAAAAGATCAAAATAATTAAGACATAATAAAGATGACAAAAGGCAATTAAAGATAATGAAATACGGTGAAAGATAACAAAAGACAATTAAAGGAAATAAAAGGATAATAAAAGAAAATAAAAGATAATAAAAGAATATAAAAGAAAACAAAAGAAAATAAAAGGAAATGAAAGAAAATAAAAGATAATTAAGGGAGAAAGAAATTGGAGCAAATAATTGAAGGCGGCGAAGAGATGAAAATAAAAAAATAAAATTAAAAAAAATAAAATAAAATGAATTGAAAGCAAATCCAGAAGTTAAAACAAGTGAAAGAATTAAAACAAATAGAAGAATGGAAACAAATAAAAGGATTACAAGAATTAAAACAAGTAAAAGAATTGAAAGAATTAAAAGAAATGAAAGAGCTAAATGAATAAATGGAAAGAAGGCAAATCAAATAATAAAACAAAAGAATTAAAAACCAAAAAAGAAACAAAAGAAAACAAAGTCCGAAAAGTTAAAGAATTTAATTCAACTTTTGTCTCAAATTGAATTTCAATTTTTTAAAAACATTTTTTTTCCAAACTTTCCTGCAGCTGCTGCTGCTGGTTTTTCGTTTCGTGCGGCAGCTGCTGCTGCATTAGCAGCAGCAACTGCTGCTGCTCCTGCTGCATTAGCAGCAGCTGGTGCTAGTGCTTCTGCTGCTGAGTATACAGAGCTGCAGCAGCAGCTGCTGCTGCAGCTGCTGCAGCTGCTGCAGCTGCTGCTGCTGCACGCATATGGTTAGTGCGCTGCGGTTGCCGGCAGCAAAAGCAGCAGCAGCAACAACGTCATTAGCAGCAGCGGCAGCAGCAGCAGCAGCAACAGCAGCAGCAGCAACAGCAGCAGCAGCAGCATGTGCTGCAGCAGCAAAAGTCGCGAAAGTCTTTCAAGTTTTGCAAAAGGGAAAGGGCTCGTTAGCCGTAAAGTTGAATTGATGCTTTGCAATTCATTTATTCCAATTCAATGAATTATAATTAATTAAAATAAACAAATGAATAGTTCCAATTAATTACAATTAAATAGTTATAATCATTTATTATTATTCATTTATTTATTTAAAATATTTCCCTCAAAAATTTCTTTTCCTCCAAAAGGCGCCGCTGACGCTCCTCTTCCTGGGCTGTACGTACACCCCAGCGCAGCGCATCTCTTCGATTTTTGAAAAGATGGAAATCACTTTTAATTCATTTCATTTAATTCAATTATTTAACTTAATTCATTTAATCAATTTAATTGATTTAATTCAATTTAATTTAATTAATTTGGTTTAATTTAATTCATTTAATTCAAAATTAAGTTCTTTTGCTCACCTGGATTCAGCCACCGACGAAAGACAATTAGACACACCGGAGTGGCAGCTGAGAAATAAAATTAAAAATGAAATAAATTAAATTAAATTAAACAAAACAAATAAAACTAAAATAAAATTAAAATTAAATGAAATTAAAATTAAATGAAATTGAAATTAAATGAAATTAAAATTAAATGAAATCAAAATAAAACGAAAGAAATGGAGGGAAATGGAAGGAATTTAAAAGAAAATAAAAAGAAGATAAAAGAAAATGAAAGGAAAATAAAAAGGAAATAAAAAGAAGATAAAAGAAAATAAGAAAATAAAAAGAAAATAAACGTAAAAGGAAAAGAAGACAAAAGAAATTAAAATGAAAACAAAATGAAAGAAGTTGCTGAAGAGAAATTCAAAAAGTAGAAACTCAAATTGGGCGAAGTCTTCAATTTCAGGAACTTCGTTTTACCCCATTTTAATTATTATTACATTATTTGATTATTTGATTATTTGATTATTTAATTGTTTAATTATTTAATTATTTATTTATTTTAATTATTTCAACATCTAATTATTTTAATTGTTTTGGATTCGTTCTTGATAATTTAAGTTCTTTTTTGATTACTTTTATTCCCTTTAAATTGTCTTTCATTCTTTTCAACTCCCTTAGTTATTTTAATTCCCTAGTCTTCAAATCAACTCAAAATAAAAACAAATTTAATCTAATTAATTTGATTAAATTAAATTAAATTAAATTAAATTAAATTAAATTAATTAAATTAATTAAATTAAATTAAAACGCACTCGAAATGCCTCCAATCCAAAACCACAGTTTGCGCCCTTCGCCGCAGTGAGCCGCGTCAGCACCTGCAGAAAGAAATAAATAAAAACTATTTATTTATTTATTTATTTATTTATTTATTTATTTATTTATTTATTTGTTTGTTTGTTTATTTATTTATTTAATTAGTTTAGTTTAATTGATTTAGTTCAATCAACTTAATTGATTTAATTAATTCAATTAAATAAACAACTAGTTTGGAAATGATGTAAACAAATAAATAAATGGCTAG